ATTAATGCCTTTATGAAATTACGAATTCTAAATGTTGTGTAGGTATTATATATTTGACATATTTTTTAGTTTCACTTATATAATTAGTAATCTTTCCATTTTCTTTTGATATTGGAATGAAAATTAGCGTTTAATAAAGTTTTCTAACTAAATATTTAATTAGTATTATATTTTATATAATTTAAAAAAAATTAAAAAAAATTTTAAAGTATTAATTTATAAATTATTTTTAATATATTAAATAATAAATATTAGTTATCAATTTTTTTTAAATAGTTAAATTTAACAAAATTAAGTGACTAATAAAATAAGGAGTAATCATAACTCTACATGAATCTTCCTAATGTATTTGTATGGGGTGTTTTTTTTTTTTTAAACTAGGGTAATTGGAGACGAGAGGGGGAAATTGGGACAAAAGAGTCAAAACTCCGATTGTGTGGGTGGAAACTCGTACAATGACCACTTGAACCACACATTAGAGTTCATAATTGTGTAAGTTTTATTTGAATAGATATTTAGGGTTGAATACTTAGTTGAAATATTAAATAATGAATGTCAAGATAAAATTTTAAAATTGTTAGAAAATTATTATTTTGAGTAAAAATGTAAATAAAAATAATAATTTTACAAAATTTCTATTTAAAAATTTTAATTTATTAATTTTTAAATAAAAATAATAATTTTTAATTTTTAAAAATATACACTTAACATGTTAATAGTATTTAATTAATTTTAAAATAAAAAAATTTTAAAAATTAATAAATTTTGTTTTAAAACTAATAAAATTAATATTTTTAAATTTAAAAAATAAAATTAACATTTTTATTTACATTTTTTCTTATTTTTATTCTAAATATTGAATGAAAAAATCTCATATCGAATGTATAACAAAAAAACTTATGGGTTGTCTACAAGGAATATCACTCTATCTACTATCAATTTGTTTTAAATTAAATGCAACTCTTCTATTGAGTCCATATGCCAAAGTTTTACATGGTATTAGATATCAAATTTTATATTAAAAAATTCATTGTTGTCTTACATAATAAGATATAAAGTTGATATCGAGTCTGCATGTAAATTGATATATTAAGTCATATGACAAAATTTGACATTTATGACAGGTTTACACGTCATGCGTGTATTAAGGGAGAAAATCTTATTTTTAAATATAAAAGACTACTTAATTGATTATCAATTAATTTTAAATTAGATACATAAACTTTTTTATTTTTCCTAGGAAAATGGATTTGACTCCATTTCATGTTTTTTCAATTAAGATCTTTTCGTAAATATTTGAGCCAAACATGTACTATTTAATTTAATCAGGATCATAATACAAAAATGGGCAAGTTAAAGACGAGTTTTGTTAGCGCCGGTGTCCGAAACCAATTTATCAAAATTCTCATCATCGGAGATCCATGTACAGAGATTTCTCATTTCTCTGTTCCACAATTTAAAAGTAAGAACTCCAAACAAAATAAGCAAAAACTAATTTTTAGCCCTTCACCTTATAAAATTGATAGATTTTAACTCATAACCTTAATATGATATTTTTAACCTTTTATCTTACAAGATAGGTTTTAACTCTTTACATTATAAAATTTGTAGGTTTTAATCCATCGCCTTATATTTTGATACTTTTAACCCCTTATCTATATGAATTGAAGAAAATAACCTTATTTAACATCAGATTATAATATTTTATTAGTTCTATTAACTGATTGTCAATTCTGTTAGTTAACTGTCAGTTCTGTTAGTTGACTGTTAACATCTATTAGCATTTCGTTGATTGAACTAACAAATAAAATTGAATTTAAATTTCATATTTTTTAGGTTAAATACCCTTTTTGGTCCCTCTACTATAGGAAAAAGCCCCTTTTTGATCCTTACTGTTCACAAATCCGGCCCCTTTGGTCCCTCCGTTAAATTTTGGCTTACGTGGCATGTTAATTAATGGAAATTTTTTTTTTCTTCACTTAAATTACGTGTGAAATCCATTTAGCAAAACTTGATGACATGGCCAATTTTTTATCTTTAATTACCAATTTACCCTCATTTTCTTCCCCCATTCTCTCCTTCCTTCAGCCTTTTTTCTCTTTTTTTTTTTCTTTCTTTTTTTTCTTACCTTTAGGCGAACCCAGGAGTCTGGGTTCGTCGCGATGAAC